TTGACGGTCCCGAGGGCCGGTGAGGGCCCCCAGAGGCCAAAAATAGAGAAAAACCTCCCGTCGTGATTTTTTCATGACTCGAGGGGGTCTGGGAGGGGGCCTGGGACGTCTTGGAGGCTTCTTGGACGGTCTTGGGGATTTGTGTATTTATTTGTGTGTCCTGGGCCCCCTTCAGGGACGCGGGTGCGCGCGGGAGCTGGCCGGGGGGCCCGGGGTGGCCCCGCGCCGGCTCCGACCAGCACTGAGTCGGGCGTGTCCCCCTGCAGGGGGATGTTGGGCGAAGAATAAAACATATTCCAACAATATTCAAACAATTCACCAAAATGGGAAAAAATACTAAAAATGCGATTTTGGGCGAAGAATGAAAATATACAGAAAAATCAAAAAATACCCCCAAAAATCGGAAAAGATACTAAAACAATCGTCCCCATATTATTTTGGGATCATGTTTCGATTCTTCTCGGGGTATCTTTTCTTATCTGTCGTCGAAAATGCCCCTGTGGGGGGACACGCCCGACTCAAGACCAGCAGGAAGGGGGGGGGCAGGTTCGATCGGCAACACCCCAACATACTTATACTATATGTGCGTCGCCCCCCCAGGGGCGACGCGCGCACCGAGAAATCTTATAGTATATGCGTCGTGGCGGGCGCTTTCTGGCCACACCGCTCGGGAAACGATATACTACAAGATGGGTATACTATATGTTCGGGTCGGACGCGCGCCTCCAAGGATGACATATAGTACTAGTATGTCCATGTGCGTCCCGTTCGAGGCTCTGGGCTCGAGGAGGTCTCTGCCTCTCGGGGTCTCCGGGGGGGCCGCTTTCGGGCCTCGGGGCTCCGACTGGCACAAACGGGTTCCAGGGCTAAGTCGGGCCTGTCCCCCTACAGGGGGGATTCTCGACGAAAAATCAAAAATATAGAAAAATAGTATATAAATAGTCCGAAAATATTCTGGGGATTATTGTTTGCATACTCTTGACCATTTGTGTGTATTTTCCCCACATCCAAAGTGAGGTTCTTGTTTTCTCTGCACTCGCCGCGCAGGATCTCACCCCCCCCTTTCCTCTCTCTCTCTCTCTCACACACACTCATCATCATCACCATCATCATCACCATCAACCACCATTATCGTCATCACACGCACACAATCATCATCATTAACATTATCATCACCATCAACCACCATCACCGTCATCACTACTCATCATCATAATCCTTCATCCTTACTCATCATCATCATCATCATCATCATCATCATCATCATCATCATCATCATTCACTCACTCATCATTTCGTTATCACTCACTCCCTGGCTTGAATTTGGAGATAGTATCAGGCGGGAGCCTCGTCTGTGAGCGAATTGTGAGGAAGTCTCAGGCGGGAGCCCCTGCCTATGGGGCCCGCACCTCATGTTTCTAATCCGAGGCGGATCATTCGAAACGTGTAACTGTCGTCACTTTTGGGCCCCTGTGGCGAGAATCTGGAGGCAGTATCAGGCGGGAGCCTCGTCTGTGAGTGAATTGTAAGGAAGTCTCAGGCGGGAGCCCCTGCCTATGGGGCCCGCACTTCATGTTTCTAATCTGAGGCGGGTCATTCGAAACTTGTAACTGTCGTCACTTTTGGGCTCTCGCGCTGCCGCACTGCCAGAACGCCACTCCCAGGCCACATTTCGCATGCCCGGAGCCAACTGTAGGCCACTTCGTGTTCTTCGTCTTCCCAGAACATTATTCCCAGGCCACATTTTGAATGCCCGGAGCCAATTGTAGGCCATTTCGTGTTCTTCTTCTTCCCAGAACACCATTCCCAGGCCACATTTTGAATGCCCGGAGCCAACTGTAGGCCACTTCGTGTTCTTCGTGTTCCCAGAAAACAATTCCCAGGCCACTTTCTGAATGTCCGGAGCCAAAACAGGAGGGCGAGGTCGGGGGCAACGTAGGGAGCAGGGGGAGGGCTCGCGCCAGGGCGAGAAGAAATATATTCAGAAGAGACAGCCAGGACGTCTCACCAACCACGAGGACGACCGTGAGGGCTTTTTCCAGATTCGCCCGGGGGATTCTCATGTGGGGTCCTTCCGTCGGAGTACTTTTTTTCTTTCGTCGACAATCCCCCTGTAGGGGGACAGGCCCGACCTAACAGGGTGAAGAATTACACCAGATGGACCCCAGGAGGCGTCCTGGGACCGATGTTCAGCGGATGTGCCTTTTATAGGGCGAAGAGAACTATGCACATGCACCGATCCTGGCAAGGCCCATTTTTGACCCAGGATCGGTGCATATGCCTTCCTGGCCAAGGTAGGAGGGCGTATGCACCGATCCTGGGCTCAGGATGGGCCTGGCCAGAATCGGTGCATGTGCGCAGTTCTTTTCCCTCTATTTTATCCCCCCCGTCTTGGCCGATTTCCTCGGAGCCCATGCAGGCCAGATCCCCTCGCGCTTCCCGCGCGCAGGGTCGCGCGTGAGCACGCCCCCTCCGCGCGGTGTGCAACACTCTCCCCCCTCCCCCGCAGTTCAAAGTTGGCACGCGTAACGCATTACAGTGAGCGGCTTGAGCAAGGAACACTTACTTTTCAAAAGGAGCTCGGTCGTTCCTTAGGCTTGTATGCGTTATCTGCAGTTCCTTATGCGTTATTTGTGATTTATCGTTCCTTATGTAAAAAAAAGGGTTTCGTTCCTTATTCATCGTTCCTTAGGTCAGGCCGATGACTGTACTGCTCCGACACTCAACTCGGCAGATCCGAAACCAACATTGCGTTCGGGGGGAGGGGGAGTTCAGGCCAGATGTCACTCGCGAGTGCTGCTTCGTTGTTGCCGCCGCCTGCATGTCTTCTCGCGCAATTAGGGCCCCTTTGTTGTTTTCGCCGCTCAGGTGGCCATGGCTGCAACCATTCGTCGCCTCGTATTCTGTGCGCTTGTCACGTGAGGTTCTCGGGTCTCCGGGCGCGCCCTCGAAGAGGTCGTCCACACCCGAGCTGGCGGGCCCTCTGCAGGTTGCTCGCCCTGTTGCTGCCAGCTGCCGCGCAGTCAGCGTGTTCGCCCTCGCTGCGAGCCAGCAGCCCCTCGTCAGGTGGCACGGTGCTGACGTCGGAGCTGCTGTTCCCTTCTCCGCGCTCTCGCGCTCCTCCAGGGAAGGAAGAAGGAAGGAGGAGGGAGGAGGAAGGAAGGAGGAAGAGGAGGAGAGGGGGGAGGAGGGAGGAGAGAAGGGAGGAGAGAAGCGGAGGGAGAGCTCCTTTTCTCCTTCCGCTCCTCCCTTCTCCCTCCGCTCTCGCGCTCCTCCTTCCCTTCTCTCGCGCTCTCGCGCGCTCGCCGCCCAGGTGGCTGGACGAGAACAACCCCAACAAGCTGGCGGCCGAGGCGGACGCTCCGAAGTTTGCGCCCCCCCAGCGGACCAGGCAGTTCGCGGAGTACGGCGTCAACGACGAGGGCATGCCCTTCGCCGTGGAGCTGCCGCCTGCCGCGCTCCCCAAGCCGGTCGTGGAGGTGGACGTGTCCGGGGAGGCCCCGACGTACCGCAACACCGCGCTGGTGAACCCCTTCGTGGTCTTCGTCCTCGGGGGGCCGGGCAGCGGAGCCGCGGAGGGAAGAAAGCGGCACGAGCGGCGCCGCTGCCGCCAGCCTCGCCGCGTCGTCGCCTCGTTGGGCCTCGTGGGAGGCCCTCGTCGCCGCGGCTGCGTTCTCCTCCGAATCCTGGTCCGAGCGCACTCTCGGAGAGGCCTGGGGAGAGTCCAGAAAGGACGAGCGGCACAGGCATAGACACTTTCGGCGGTCCGCGCGGATCTCTTGGATCGGCGCCGGGCCCTCCTGGCAGCGCCTCTGGTGCCGCCCCTGGCGCGCCAAGAAATCCCCGCAGAGCTCCGAAGTTCAGGAAAGGGCACGCAGTGCGCGAAGCTGCGCGACGAGTTCAGCCTGATCCACCTGAGCACGGGGGACCTCATGCGTGAGGAGGTGGCGGCGAAGTCGCATCTCGGCACGGAGATCTTCAGGCACATGCAGACTGGCTCGCTGGTGCCGGACGAGATCACCGTGAGGCTCCTGAAGAACGCGATGCTCAAGCACAAGGACACCAACCGTTTCTTGATCGACGGTTTCCCCCGGACCCTGGAGCAGGCAAAGATGTTCGAGCACGAGGTCGCGACGGTCTCCTTCGCCGTCAGCTTCGACCTGAGCGCAGACGTGATGCGCGAGCGCATCGCCGCGCGTGCCGCCGCGGCTCCTGGGCGGGTGGACGACAACCCGGAGACCGTGGAGAAGCGCCTGAAGGTGTTCGAGGAGCAGTCGAAGCCGGTCATGGACTTCTACGACCCCATCGGCAGGCTGCGCAGGGTCAGCGCCGCCGCGAGCGTCGAGGAGGTCTACGCCGAGACGCGGCGGCACTTCTGCAGCAGCTTCGTCTACCTGCTCGGGCCCCCGGGCGCCCCCGTGGTGCCCGTGGCCCGCCGGCTGGAGGAGAAGTACGGGCACTGCTGCGTGGACGTGCCCGCCCTGCTGCAGGCGTACGGCGACTCGAAGGAGGAGGACTCCACTCCAGAGCTTCCTCCACCTCCTCCTCCTCCTCACCTTCCTCCTCCTCCTCCTCCTGCTCCTCCTCCTCCTCCTCCTCCTGGCCCTGGTGAGCGTGGCTGCCAGGGCGCACCCAGCCGCCACCCCCGCCGGGGCCCAGAAAGGGCCCGTCCAGGAAGCCCCCCAGTGTCGACTAGACGTAAGAGTGACCTTTCGCCGGAGTGACCTTTGGTGCGGGCACGGATGGGTACCCAGGTGGCTGAACACGAGGCAGTAGCAGCTTCTTGCGCACCCAGGTTTGGTCCCCCCGCGGCCCCCAAAAAGTTGCGCACCAAAGGTCACTCTTACCCAGGGTCACTCTTGCGTATAGCCGGAGGACGCCCCGGCCGTGAAGCGGTGCCTGGCCACCGGGAAGCCGGTGGACGCGGCCATCGTATGCCCGCTGGTGCTGAAGGAGATCGTCGCCGCCGCCGTCGTCGTCGTCGTCGTCGCCGTCGTCGTCGCCGTCGCCGCCGTCGTCGTCGTCGTCGTCGTCGTCGCCGTCGTCGTCGTCGTCGTCGTCGTCGTCGTCGTCGTCGTCGTCGTCGTCGTCGTCGTCGTCATGGTCGGCGCCGTCGCCAGCGTCAGCGTCAGTGCCGCCCTGCGCCCGAGGAGATCGAGAAGGGCCGCTCCGTGGGGCAGTCGGGCTTCGTGCTCTGCGACTTCCCGCAGACGCTCAAGCAGGCCTCGGGCGGGGGGGGGGCCGAGCCTTTTTGGGCCGCTCCGGAGGGCGTGCCAGGGCACGCTCTCGGAGCGCTCCGGCGAGGGTGGCTGCGGCCGCCCGAGCTCCCCCAGAGCTCCGACGAGATGTGTTTCCGATCTGGGCGTGTTTGTTTTTTGACTCTATCTCTCTCTCTCTCTTTCTTTCTCTCTCTCTCTCTATATATATATACATATATATATATATATATACATATCTATATATAAACATACAGGAGGAAACGGAGGAGGAGGAGGAGGAGGAGGAGGAGGAGGAGGAGGAGGACGGGGATGAGAGGGAGGAGGAGGAGGAGGAGGAGGATCTATCTCGATTAACCCCCCCCCTCGAAAGCGACACCCCCCCGAATCCCGGGGCCCTCTGGGCCCCCCAGATCTGTGATCCCGAGGGCGCCCTGGGCGCCCCTGCAGGATGCCCCCCAGGCGTTTCAGAGCTCTTGGAAGCCCTTGCTGGGCCTAGGCAGCGGGCCCAACTCAGTCAGGAGGGCGGCCGAGCGCCCCCCCCGAGGGCCCCAAGAGGCCCCAGACACCCACCAGACGCCCGAAGACGACCCAAAGAAGACCCCCAAGTGGCGTCCAAAACGCAGAAAAACATTGATTGCCCACGGCTTCTGCATTGCATGAGTCTGGGAATGCCCTGTACTTCGATCTTCTGGGCGTCCGAAGCCGCCTGGGAGGCTCCAAAATCGCCCCGTAACCATCCGAAAGGGCTTCCAGGCAGTCCAAGAGAGCCCCACGACGGCACAACAGGGGTCCAAGATGGCCCTCAGACCCTCCGAAGCATTCCAAATCGTGACCAGGTCATTCAGGGAGACCGCGGTTGGAGGCAAGGTGGCCAGAGGAAGCCCCCAGAGGCCCCCAGAACACGCCCAGGAGGCCTCCAGAAGGCCTTAAGAAAGCCTGAAAAACTTCGGTGAGGCCCCCAGGGGCTCTCCAAGGAGGAACCTCCGCAAAAAGAGCTGAGGAGGATGGGAAAGAATTCGCAGGGTTAGGGCGAGCATGAGGAAAATGGTAAATTTAGGCAGGATAGCGAATCACATTATTATAACGGCGATGCCGAAAAAGGCAGCAGGGAGTTGTTGTTTGTTTGACCTTCCTGTCATTCCGCCTGCATGCCAAATTTCCAGGACCAAGATGCATGGCGCGAAACGCAACTGCAGTCTTGTATACACACAAGCACACATACACACATACACACAAACATACCTACATGCATGTCTGCATGCATGCATGCATGCATGCATACATACATACATGCATGCACACATACACACATACACATATGCACACACATATGTGTACATACATACGAACATACATACATACATACATACATACATACAAACATACATACATACATACATACATACATGCCTACCTACCTACCTACCTACCTACCGACCTACCTACCTACCTACCTACCTACCTACCTACCTACCTACAAACATACACCCAGACAGACAGACAGACAGACAGACAGGCAAACATACATATATTCATACATGCATGCATGTATCTATGTATGCAAATGAGTACGTTTTTATTTATGTTTGTGTATGTATACACATATTCCTGTTCAATTATTTTTTAGGGCCAGGGACGCCGGAAAAAAATACCCCCAAAAAAGCTCCCCCCCCCAACAAATTTGGCCCTCCCTGGGCCTCCGGGCAACTCTTCAGACGACCCAGGAGAACCTCACGAGAGCCCGAAGACGGCCCCAGACGGGTTCCAGGCGTTCCGGCGCGCTCCGGAAACGACCTCAGAGAATCCCAATACGGTCCACGATGACCCCCAAGAAGCCGTCATACCCCTAGAGATCGTTCCAAAACAGAGCAAGAGGCCTCCAAGAGCACTCCCAAGAAGGCCCCAAGGGGCAAAAGTCATAGATTTTCTTATGATTTTTGGTGAATTTCGGGGTTCTCCTGTTTTCGGCTTCCCGACGCTCCAAGACGGCAGTATTCTGGGCGTCCGAAGCCGCCTGGGAGGCTCCAAAATCGCCCCACAACCATCCGAAAGGGGAAAGGGCTTGCAGGCAGTCCAAGGGAGCCCCAAGACGGCACAACAGGGATCCAAGATGACCTTAAGAGAACCCCATGGCGGCCCAAGATGGCCCCAAGACACCCTCCGAAGCATTCCAGATCGTGACCCAGTCGTTCAGGGAGACCGCGGGCAGGGTGGCCCGAGGAAGCCCCCAGAGGCCACCAGAACACGCCCAGAAGGCCTCCAGAAGGCCTTAAGAAAGCTTGAAAAACCGTTGTGAGGCCCCCAGAGGATCTCCAAGGAGGAGCCTCCACAAAAAGAGCTGAGGAGGATGGGGAGAATGCGCCGGGCATGGCGAGAATGAGGAAAAAGAAGCATGGAGGAAGGACAACGACTAACATCATTATAACTGCGATGCTGGACAAGGCAGCAAGGAGTTATCGCTAAGCTGTCGGCTTGACCTTCCTGCCATTCCGTCTGCAGACCAAACTTCAAGGACCAAGGTGCATGGCGCGAAGCGCCTCTGCAGTCTTGCATATACAGGGGGGGATACCGTGGTGAAACCTCCTCGGATCTGATGGCCCCCTCTTCTCCTTTCAGTGCGGGAGAGGGAAACAATTAGTGAACGCCCCTCCTGCCCCCCAAACTCAAGGCTGGCACGCGCGGGGGAGGCTGCGGTCGGGGTGCAACTCATCAGACCCACCGCCAACTTTGAAGATTGGGGGGAGGGGGAGGCGTTCACAGCTGAATGTGGTATGAGTGTTCGCTGTTTTTGTTCCGAGGCCTGTACGTCCCTTGCCCCCCCCCCTCCCGTCCGCGCAGTTGCCTTCCATCCCCGACCCCGTGGCTTTCGAGCTATGTGTATGTTGTACAGCCCGGGCCTCCGGCAACCGTGCGGGATGATCCAGCACCCCGGGGAACGCTCCGCGCGAGGCGCAGCCGATGGGAAGGCCGAGGACCACCGAACCGATGAACCAACGCCGATGGGACGGCCGAGAATCAGGAGGGAAAAAAACACAAACATCATTAATCGCCGGTTCCCCAGAAAAGATGGGAAAATATCGGAAGTGGGGGGGAAGACACAACAAAAAACAGAAAGCATGGGAAAATATGGGTAATCCTGTTCGTTGTGTGTGTGTGTATTTATTTGTGTGTCCCAGGGCCCCTTCCGAGAACCCGAGGCTGGAGAGATGCCGAGAACCAAGGAGAGCGGCCGAGAACCGACGAGAAGACGGCGAAAGCCCCCCTCTCTGGGACGCCCCCCCCCTCTCTGCGGCGCCCCCGACTGCAGGCCGCGCGACGCCCCCCCCTCTCCGACGCCCCCCTCTTCGGCGCCCCCTCTCTTCGGCGCCCCCCTCCTGGACGCCCCCCTCTTCGACGCCCCCCCCCCCCCCCTCGACGCCCCCCCCCCCCCTCTTCGACGCCCCCTCTCTTCGACGCCCCCCCTCTGGGACGCCCCCCTCTCTTGGACGCCCCCCTCTCTGGGACGCCCCCTCTCTGCGGCGCCCCCGACTGCACCAGGCCCAGTTCCTGGAGCTCCGGATGCCGTGCGCCGCGCGGCCGCTGCTGCTCGACTACGGCCGCGCGGACGCGGAGGCCCCACGGCGCGCGGGGGCCCGGGGGCAGTGCGGAAGAGAGGAGGGAGGAGGGGGAGGAGGAGGAGGAGGAGGAGGAGGAGGAGGAGGAGGAGGAGGAGGAGGAGGAGGAGCAGAGGAGGAGGAGGAGGAGGAGCAGGAGGAGGAGGAGGAGGAGGAGGAGGAGGAGGAGGAGGAGGAGGAGGAGGAGGAGGAGGAGGAGGAGGAGGAGGAGGAGGAGGAGGAGGAGGAGGAGGAGGAGGAGTGGGGCAATGCGGAGGAGGAGTGGGCTCAGGGGGCGTTGGGGCTTTGGAGCTGGCTGGGCTGAGGTGGCCCAGGCGCAGATCGACTACAGAATCGATGCACCCCAGAATTGAAGTTTGCGTGGATCTGTGATGTCGAGGTCCTGTAGTAGATGAACCAAAAGTGGCATGAACATAAAAACTCGGAGGTCCGCGCGGATTTTTCGGATCGGCGCTGCCGCCCGAGGACGTGGCCGCGATGACGATGCCCCTGGAGTGCAACGAGCTGGAGGTGGAGACCAGGATCGCAAGGTTCTTCGGCTCGGAGATGCAGGGCACGCTGAACTCGCTCCCCAGGCTGGAGCGCATCCCCCTCGCGTTCGCCGGGAAGGAGCCGCTGCCGGCGGGGGCGACCAGCCTGGACGCGGCGGGCGTGGAGCCGGGGGCCAGAAGCAAGGGCTCCCACGAGGGCGCGAAGTCATTCGCGCTTCGCGGTCCTCGTTCCTTCTCCCCCTCCTCCTCGTCCTCCTTTTCTCCCTTTGGGGGGGCGGCGCGAGAGCGCGAAGTTCTTCGCGCTTCGCGGAGCGCGAGAGCGCGAAGTTGGGAGCCCTAGAGAAAACCGCGTGGGCCTCGCCTTCGGCCGGCACTTCCAAGGGTGGGGCCCGGAGGGACGGCGCCCCACGGACGAGTGGCCTCAGACAGTGAAGGCTCCGCCTGGGAGCCCATCCCCTGCAGTCGGGGCCCTGAAGAAGGAACCCTTTTCGTTGGGGAGGGGCTCCGTGTTCCTTGGTTGTTTCGCAGCTTGCCTCAGATGTTCCTCAGGTTTTCGATGCGAAATCGAAGTTTTTAACTTGTGGAAAAGTGGGGCCTCGTTCCTTCTTTAGGGTTCCTTCGGTCAACGCCCCGACTGTATCCACAGGCCGCAGGGCCCCCTGAGGGCCCCACATCAGGGCTCGCTTCGATTCCTCCGATCCGATTCGATTCGACTTCGATGGCCTCCGATTCCGATTCGATTCGACTTGGGATTTCGATTGGGGTCCCGATTTCTCACTGGAGGCACACTATCTTGCCGATTTCCGCCGATTCGATATTTCCCGACTCGGCTGCCGATTTCCGCCGATCCGATTCATTTCGATCGCCGATCCGACTTATCGATTCGATTCTGGGCTCTCTTGCCACATCTTTGAGTCGCCAATTCGGCGCATCCTTGGCCCCGGCGGAGGCCGGCGGCACGCCGGCAGGAGCAAGGCGGCATGGCGGGGGTCCGCGGGCGGAAGCTCGCGCGACAGCTCGCCGGAAGCTCGGCGGAGGTACAGTGAGCGGCTTGAATAAGGAACGCTTACTCTTTAAAAGGGGCTCGGTCGTTCCTTAGGCTTGCATGCGTTATGTATCGTTCCTTATGCGTTGTGTATTATTTGTTCCTCGTTCCCTATCCCTATGCGTTACTCTTTGGAAGAAAGGGGCCTCGTTCCTTATTTCTCGTTCCTTAGGTCAGGCCGATGACTGTAAGAGTGAGACGTCCTGTCTGGATTCGGGGATTTCCGACCCCGCCAAGTCAATATAAAGTAATGAACGGAACCGGCGCGCCTGCGGCGGTGCGTCATGGAAGGGTCCATTTCGATCCGATCGATCCGATCCGATATCGACTCCGGCGTGCTCGATCCGATTTGGTTCGGGTATTCCGTCGATCCGACGCGGTCAGATATTTGCATGGCGTTGTTGTGCGTCCTGGCGCAGCCGATCCGAGTCGATCTCGATTCCGTGCCGATGCGGCCCGATCCAACGCACATTCCGATTCGATCCGATCCCCCCCAGTGAAGTAAGGGTTCGGGCAAGGTTTGTCGGACCCGTTTTGCCCCAACCATGCCGTGGTGTTTGGGTCCTCATTTTGAATCCGTGGCGCCCCGCGTCTCCCTCCTGCCGCTGCCTCCTCCTCCCCCTCCCCCTCCTCCTCCTCCTGCTCCTGCTCCTCCTCCTCCACCTTCCCCTCCTCCTCCTCCTCCTCCTCCTCCTCCTCCTCCTCCTCCTCCTCCTCCTCCTCCTCCTCCTCCCCCTCCTCCCGCTGCCCCCTGCCTCCTTCCCTTGCTCTGCGCGTGCTCCATGCAGCACGCCGGTCACACGCTTCGGTGCCCCTAATAGGGAACTCGACTTGCGCTCTCGGCGGGCGCGACCGCACAGCCAGCGCTGCCCTCGTGCATGCACAGCCCTCACGCGCGGTCGCATGGCGCCCCCGCCCCCGCTTCGGCGCAACCCTCACACGCTTCGTGGCCGCATAGGGAGCTCCACCTACGGTCTCAGCGGGCGCGACCGCATGGCTGGCGCCATCACTACGGCTTCTTCGGTGCGCACTGCAGTACTGACTGGGGGGCGCCCCCCCCGCCGCCGCCATTTTGAATTGATTTTGGCCGGCGAGCCCGCCGCCATTTTGTTGTTGCCTAATTGCGATTACGGTTGCGCCCGCGGGCGGGTTAAAATGTTTCGTCTGTTTGGGAATTGAAAAATATCGCACTTCCGCGTCACGCGGTGCACCTTAGTCATAGATTTGCAAATATTATTCGGGAGAGTCCCACGCCCGCCTAAGATATTATGTGTTGTTATGTTCGTTGTAGTTTTTTCAACGGATTGCAAAACGCAGCCCGCCTGAATAATTCCGCACTGGTCACAAGACGGTTCGCCGCCAAATTTTTACGGGGAGTTCCAACTGATTTGAATTCGTTGGTTCGCCTTGCCGCCGTTTCTTTCGATACGTCAGTTACTGGTTCAGTTTTTTTCTCCGCCGCCCGCTTTTTTCTGATATATAGAGTATGTTGTATTGCTTCCAGTGTGATCTGGCGCCAGCCCCAAGTATGCAAGCCCCGCACACGTGCTGCGGCCCCATGGTGAGCCCCCACCAGCGGTCTCCGCGACCGCGACCGCACGGCCAACGCCGCCCCCAGTGATGCACACCCTGCATGCGGCCCCCCAGGGCCGCACAGGGCGTACCACGGCAGGCCCCCGCAGCATAGCCTTACGTCGGGCCTGTCCCTCTACAGGGGGGATATTCAAAAATAGTCGAAAAATAGTCTGGGGATGTTTTTTGTCAAAAGCATTTTTCTACCATTTTGGAATATTCGTTGACTATCTTTTTATTTTTCGTCAAAAGTATTCTTTACCATTTGGGAATCTTCGCCAGGCTAATTTTTTATTTGTCGTCGAAAAGTCCCCCTGCAGGGGGGCAGGCCCGACCTAACCCTGGGGCCGCACAGGGCGTACCACCGCAGGCCCCCACAGCATAGCCTTACGTCGGGCCTGTCCCTCCACAGAGGGAATATTCACAAATGGTCAAAAAAATAGTCTGGGGACTATTTTCTCTAGTATTTTTGATCATTTGGGGATATGTTTGTCTATTTTTTTTATTTTTCGTCGGAAAACCCTCTGTAGGGGGACAGGCCCGACCTAACCACAGGGCAGCACGGCCCGCACGTCGGCACCGCGCCACTCCGCGGCACACCCGCCAGCAGCGGCGCTCTGCCGCGGCCGGCGCGCGGGCGCCGCTCGGCGCGCCCTCCCCGGCGCAGCTCTGGCCCGCCGCTCCCCCGCCGCACTGCCCGGGGCTCCGTCCCTGCCGCGGCGCGCTGTGCGTGGGGATGGGGCGTCGCGCAATGGGGGGGGGGGGGGGGTCATACCCAGACCCCCTCGAGTTATGAAAAAATCACGACGGGAGGTTTTTCTCTTTTTTGGGGCTTCGGGGGCCCCTACCGGCCCTCGGGGCCGTCAAAAAACGACGCAGGACGAAGAACCGGTCCCGGGGAATGGGTCGAGACCTCGGGGGGTCGACGTCATGAAAAAATCATGACGTCGGGGGTCTGGGTACATGGGGGGGTGGCGAGGGTGGTCCGAAAAGGTACCCAAACGGTACCGAAACGAGCCCCCTGGGGCTCTGGAGGGGCCCGAAAAGGGCAGGAAAGGGGACCGCTTCCGACCCCCCCATCTATGACCCCCCCATTAAGCCACGCCCAAGAGGAGAGGGTTCTGTCCAGGGTCGCTCGCAGCTGCACATGGGGGAGCAAAAAGTACGTGGCATAAACATCAAAATTCGGAGGTCCGCGCGGATTTCTCTGATCGGCGCTGGGGCCCCCCGGCGGCGCCTCCGGCGCCGCCCCGGGCGCGCTCCGCGCGCCAGGGAGGGGGGTCCAGCGCCGATCCGAGAAATCCGCGCGGACCTCCGAGTTTTTATGTTTATGTGATTTGTTGTTCCCCCAAGGTCAGGGTCCTTAGCCTTGGTCAGGCAGATAAGTGTCCCATGTCGGTCCCACTCTCTCTGCCCCTTTTGACCTGCTCCCTGCGCGGGGGAGGGGGGCCCTGGCGTCTTCGGGACTCCTCCGCTCGTGGACGTCCGAGGCCCATGCTCGCTTGGCGTATTGCAAAGGCCTGACGGCCGGTGCCGCCGACCCTGAAGAGGACCACGACGTCGGCGACGAAGTGGGCGGAGACGGAGGCCGTGGAAGATGAGGAGGAGGAGGCGAGGAGGAGGGGGAGGAGGAGGAGGAGGAGGAGGAGGAGGAGGAGGAGGAGGAGGAGGAGGGGAGGAGGAAGAGGAGGCGAGGAGGAGGGGGAGGAGGAGGAGGAGGAGGCGGAGGGGAGGAGGAGGAGGAGGAGGAGGCGGAGGAGGAGGAGGAGGAGGAGGAGAAGGAAGAGGAGGAGTTTGGCGTATTTTCTGGCCTCCCCCCCAGGAGCAGCACCTCGTCGACTCCGCGTGCGCGGCCGTGTTCGAGAAGGTCAGGCCCGGCCTGACCGTGGTCCTGGGCCTCCCGTGCAGCGGCGCGAAGGCTCGGAGGGCCCTGGCTCCCGATCCGCCGTACCTCGGCTGACGCTCCGACTTCAAAATTCTGTCGGATATGCACCCCGAACGACGCGACAGGGTAGGGTTAAGTCGGGCCTGTCCCTCTACAGGGGGAATATTCAGAGATAGTGAAAACATAGTCTGGGGGCTATTGCTTGAGTATTGCTTTGCGTATTTTGATTTCGTTTTGAATGTTTTTTATTCTTCGTCGAAAATCCCCCTGTATGCGAAGCGCGCCCGACTTCAGGGTAGGGCGGAAACTTCCGCCTCAGAGAAGTGGGGCGGGCATTTCGGCAAGAAGTGCGGCAGAAACAGGGGCCGCAGAGTAGGGCGAACAGTGGTATCCAATGGGCTCGCAAAGCAGTGAGGCGGACGTGTCCGCCCTACTTACCAAATCGCCCGAAGTACCTCCAGAGTAGGAGGACGAGTAGGAGGAGGAGGAGGAGGAGTCAGGGCAGGGCCAGTCGAGGCCTCGGCGGCCCTTCTGGCGTCTCGCGTCCCCCCGTGGGCCTCGTGGAGCCTCCTCGTCGCCGCTGCTGGAGTTCGCCTCGAACGCCTGAGCATCGGAGGGCACCAACTATACACCAGCACCGATCCTGGCCCAGGATCGCCCTGGGCCCAGGATCGGTGTATATGCCTTCTTGCGCAAGGCAGGAGGGCGTATACACCGATCCTGGGCCCAGGGTGATCCTGGCCAGGATCGGTGTTGGTGTAGAGTTGGTGCCTTCCTGGAGCAGGATGGAGCCCGGGAGGGGTGGATGTGTGGGAGCGGACTCTGAGCGCAGTTGGGCTGGGCGGGAGAGCCGCCGGCCGTGCCCCGAGATCCGACACTGCGGGCCAGAAAATGCAGCAGCGCGAAGAAAGCACGATGAGAGCCCTAGACTCAGGAGGGGAAGAAACACACAGACACAATTCATCGGCGATTCCCCCCAAAATATAAAAAATATGGGAAGTGGGGGGGGAGACAGAAACCCATAAAATATGGGAAAATATGGGGAAACCTTTTATTTGTGTGTATTTATTTGTGTGTCCTTGGGCCCCTTCACTAGACACCAGCTTGTCTGCGGCATCTGCCGAGCCAGCTCGATCGGTGAGGGCTCCAGGGCCCGACGCCGGGGCGACATTCCCCGGCGTAAGAAAAGTACCCCAGCAGAGGCCTGACGCGTCCTCCTCCTCCTCCTCCTCCTCCTCCTCCTCCTCCGCCTCCTCCTCCTTCCTCCTCCTCCTCCTCCTCCTCCTCCTCCTCCTCCTCCTCCTCCTCCTCCTCCTCCTCCTCCTCCTCCTCCTCCTCCTCCTCCTCCCCCTCCCCCTCCTCCTATCGTCCACAGATGCGCATACGGCAGCAAAGGTGGATGGGGCGGGTCGAGGAGCAGGAGCTCGGCCAGCGAAGGCGTGCATTCCTGGGTGACTGCTCCCTGGGGATTCCTTCTCCTCCTCCTCCTCCCCCTCCTCCTCCTCCTCCTCCTCCTCCTCCTCCTCCTCCTCCTCCTCCTCCTCTTCCTCTCGTCGTCGTCCTCGTCCTCGTCCTGCTCCTCCTCCTCCTCCTCCTCCTCCTCCTGCTCCTCCTTCCTCCTCCTCCTCCTCCTCCTCCTCCTCCTCCTCCTCCTCCTCTTCCTCCTCCTCCTCTTCCTCCTGCACCGGGGCGAGATCACGGCCGCGTGTGCCGTGGTGCATTTTTTGAAGCATCGGGGCGCGGCCGTGGGACAGGGGTGGGAGTATGGCCATGCGCACCGTTGTGTGTGTGTGTGCGTGTGTGTGTGTGTGCGTGTGCGTGTGCGTGTGCGTGTGCGTGTGCGTGTGCGTGTGCGTGTGCGTGTGCGTGTGCGTGTGCGTGTGCGTGTGCGTGTGCGTGTGCGTGTGCGTGTGCGTGTGCGTGTGCGTGTGCGTGTGCGTGTGCGTGTGCGTGTGCGTGTGCGTGTGCGTGTGCGTGTGCGTGTGTGTGTGTGTGTGTGCGTGTGCGTGTGCGTGTGTGTGTGTGTGTGCGTGTGCGTGTGTGTGTTTCAGAAGAGATGGTGACCGTGCGACAGGGGTGGGAGCACGGCCCTGTGCACCGCAGCGTATTTTTTTTCGTTCGGGGGTCGTGGCCGCCCAAGCCAAAAGTGTCGCCGGGACTGGGGCGGCAGCAGTTTTCCTGAGTGGATTGCGAGGAACCCTCAGGTGAAGCAGTTGCAGGCACCAGCGTCCTCGGTTTCCCCGTCCCCCTTTTGTGAGAGAGAGTCTTCTGTAGTTTTACTGCTAGCCCAACCCTGAGGAACCCTGCAGCGAAACGCGATTCGGGAAATCATACCCCCCCCGATCTCAGGGTGGTCTCAATTTTGGCCCTTCCCCGAAAGGCTCTGGCGCAGATGCTGGCGAAGCGCGCGCCGGGCTCCCTGGCGGTCGACTGTAGCGAGCTGATCGCCGCCGAGGTCGAGAGGAAGACAGAGGTCGGGCTCATGATCGAGGAGATACCATGCAGCCTCGTCATCTTCCAGCCCGCGGCTTCTCTTTCGTCTTCCTCATCATCGCTGCTCGCCATGAGTCGAGAAACAAGCAACGGCATATACAGAAGCAGTCGGAGCTCCGTGCGGATGTCTCGGATCGGCGTCGGGCCTTCCTGGCGGCGCCTCCGTCGCCGCCCCTGGTGCGCTCCGCGCGCCAGGGAGGGGGCACAGCGCGGATCCAAGAAATCCACGCGGAGGTCCGAAAGTGTATGTTTTCGCAGTTTTCATTTAAAAGACGCAGGCGGGTCCTGAGGAAACGGATCCTGGAGCTTTTGCGCAGTTTTCGAGTTCTGCGGGCCCTCCACTGGCCAGAGCCTTGAGCCAGCCAGCGTGGAGGATGCGCGTACCTTTTCGCGTACTTTCCGCGCTGCAAGGTCCCGCAGTCAGTACTCATTTCATTCCCCCTCATCCCCCTCCTCTCCTCGCAATTATTCTCTCCCTCCCACCTCTCATCACCCCTCTTCTCTCCCGTCTCACCCCTCTCTCATTCCTCACCCCCTTTCCTAACCGCTCTCAGCCTTCTTTTACAGTCACGCATCATGAATGTTTTGAGGGAGTTTCTGTGGAACTCACGTCATCCTCACCCCCGGCGCGAAGAGCACGAGCCCAGAGCGGCCTCCGGCACCGTTTCCGGACGGATCCGCTGGATCCGCTGGATCCGCTGGATCCGGTGACGAATCCCAAACCGGCGCCCTCGCCTGAGACATCCTCACAAAACGGGCCCCGGGGGGGATGCCCAGAGGAGCCCAGAGCGGCCTCCGGCACCGTTTCCGGACGGATCCGCTGGATCCGCTGGATCCGCTGGATCCGGTGACGAATCCCAAACCGGCGCCCTCGCCTGAGACATCCTCACAAAACGGGCCCCGGGGGGGATGCCCAGAGGAGCCCAGAGCGGCCTCCGGCACCGTTTCCGGACGGATCCGCTGGATCCGCTGGATCCGCTGGATCCGCTGGATCCGGTGACGAATCCCAAACCGGCGCCCTCGCCTGAGACATCCTCACAAAACGGGCCCCGGGGGGGATGCCCAGAGGAGCCCAGAGCGGCCTCCGGCACCGTTTCCGGACGGATCCGCTGGATCCGCTGGATCCGCTGGATCCGGTGACGAATCCCAAACCGGCGCCCTCGCCTGAGACATCCTCACAAAACGGGCCCCGGGGGGGATGCCCAGAGGAGCCCAGAGCGGCCTCCGGCACCGTTTCCGGACGGATCCGCTGGATCCGCTGGATCCGCTGGATCCGGTGGACGAATCCCAAACCGGCGCCCTCGCCAGAATCCTCAAAAACTCGAGACATCCTCACAAAACGGGCCCCGGGGGGGATGCCCAGAGGAGCCCAGAGCGGCCTCCGGCACCGTTTCCGGACGGATCCGCTGGATCCGCTGGATCCGCTGGATCCGGTGACGAATCCCAAACCGGCGCCCTCGCCTGAGACATCCTCACAAAACGGGCCCCGGGGGGGATGCCCAGAGGAGCCCAGAGCGGCCTCCGGCACCGTTTCCGGACGGATCCGCTGGATCCGCTGGATCCGGTGACGAATCCCAAACCGGCGCCCTCGCCTGAGACATCCTCACAAAACGGGCCCCGGGGGGATGCCCAGAGGAGCCCAGAGCGGCCTCCGGCACCGTTTCCGGACGGATCCGCTGGATCCGCTGGATCCGCTGGATCCGCTGGATGACGAATCCCAAACCGGCGCCCTCGCCTGAGACATCCTCACAAAACGGGCCCCGGGGGGGATGCCCAGAGGAGCCCAGAGCGGCCTCCGGCACCGTTTCCGGACGGATCCGCTGGATCCGCTGGATCCGCTGGATCCGGTGACGAATCCCAAACCGGCGCCCTCGCCTGAGACATCCTCACAAAACGGGCCCCGGGGGGGATGCCCAGAGGAGCCCAGAGCGGCCTCCGGCACCGTTTCCGGACGGATCCGCTGGATCCGCTGGATCCGGTGACGAATCCCAAACCGGCGCCCTCGCCTGAGACATCCTCACAAAACGGGCCCCGGGGGGGATGCCCAGAGGAGCCCAGAGCGGCCTCCGGCACCGTTTCCGGACGGATCCGCTGGATCCGCTGGATCCGGTGACGAATCCCAAACCGGCGCCCTCGCCTGAGACATCCTCACAAAACGGGCCCCGGGGGGGATGCCCAGAGGAGCCCAGAGCGGCCTCCGGCACCGTTTCCGGACGGATCCGCTGGATCCGCTGGATCCGCTGACGAATCCCAAACCGGCGCCCTCGCCTGAGACATCCTCACAAAACGGGCCCCGGGGGGGATGCCCAGAGGAGCCCAGAGCGGCCTCCGGCACCGTTTCCGGACGGACGACCTGACTGCATAACACGCCTGGATATGCCGACGGGGGCGAAGGAGGAGGAGGAGGAGGAGGAGGAGGAGGAGGAGGAGGAGGAGGAGGAGGAGGAGGAGGAGGAGGAGGAGGAGGAGGAGGAGGAGGAGGGGGAGGGGGCAGGCGAGGGAGCC